CCTCAAACCAGACCAGGGCAGGGCTGTGTTCCCCAGGCCAGACCCAGGGCCAGACCAAAGCCAGGCCATTTGGGCACTAAGATTCACCCCACCCAGGCTGTGCAGTGCTGGTGGTGGCCAGCGTCTCCCTGCAGGAGCTGGGGCTGTGTGGGGTCTCATCTTCCATGCCAGGCCTGCAGACCTGGAGCTGAGCCTGCACCTGTTGACCCCAGAGTCCCAGCTCCGGGAGGTTCTGGCCCTGCATAGAGGTGGGGAGGGGAGTGGGGTGGCTTAGAGCATCCCTCAGGGAGGAACCTGGGGCCCAGGACCCAGAAAGTAGGAGCTGGGGGAGGGAGGGCACTGGGGCCCTGAGGGGGACAGCCACACCCCTGTAGAGCTTCAAAGGGCAGAGCTGGGAGTGTGAGATTCGCAGGGGCTGGGTGGGCTGGTGGGGTGAGGCCCACTGCCTCCGGGGCTTTAATATGGTTATTCCTCTCCTGTCTCAACTACCTGTGAACAGGCCCACCAGGCCCATTTCCTCCCTCAGGCGGGCAGGAGGAGCTGTAAACTCCCTGGAGAGGCCTTCTGGAGAGGCCTTCTGAGGCTCTCAGGCTGCCCAGTTCTGGCCTCACTCTGAGTGGGGGGCTGGGCTTGGCTGCCTGGGGACATGCTGATGTTGGCAGGTGATGGCTTCAGATGTGACATTCCATGTCTGCAAAAGGCAGGAGCAGAGAAGACCTGGGGGGCACTGCCTCAGCCCACTGCCTCTCACACTAGAGGGAAACTGAGGCCCAGAGGGGGTGGGGCTTGCTCTGGGCCAGTAGACCTGGTTTTGCTTCCTCCCTGAAGCTCCCTCACCCATACTGGGGGGCTGCCCTGTGGCCCCTTGGGGAGGGGTGCTCCATACTGGCCCTCTTCTGGTGGAGTGCTGCCTCTCTCTACCCTGGAATTATGGCGGCTGGACCCTGAGGCCCACTGCCCCCCTGCCCCAGGTCTCTGACATGCTGCGTGTCCTCGGACCAGTGCCACCCATCTCTGGGCCCCAGAAGACAAAGCCTGATGCTGGGGAATTACACTCCTACTACTCAGAGGTGTGGGGACCGCACCTCTGCATCCATCCCCCAGGTGTCTGGTCTGCTCCCCTTGCAGGTCTCTGCATCCTCCCCTGTAACCCCACGAATATGGTAAACAGTCATTTGGTTCTCAGGGCCCTGCAAATTGGTATCCCTGTCTCCCTGACCACCACCACACCCCCAGCCTGCCTGTTGCTCCAGCCCCTTCATCTGTGAAGCCCTGGCACCTAGCTCCTAGTAGATGCCAGTTAGGATGGCTCCTGGCCTGGCCCTGACTCAGGTGCCACCGTCTGGGCTGTCTGTGAATGGACCCATGGGCAGCTGAAGTGGGGCACCTGTCACCCCCACCTCCAGGGACTAACCCCTGTGAGAAGCATTGACCCCTATTGCCCAGGATGGCTTGATGGGTGTGCGGGGTCCCTCCTACTGGTGACTCACCCCCACGGAGGACACCTGTGGCTGGTGGTCTGGCCTCGGCTGCTGCCCTATTCTCCCTCTTTGTGGAGTATCTGCTGCAGCCCGTCTGGCTCCAGCTGACCCCTCATGCAGCAGTGGGGAATCCCTTGTAGTCAGTATCAGCCCCTGACCAGTGGGTGACCTGCCTGGAATGGGACTAGTGGGGAAGCGTCCAGTACAGGGCTTGGGCTTATGGGGGGGTTGGTGAGTGCCAGCTAGGATGCACATTGGTGGGGGTGCTGGAGCCCAGAGGCCAGGTCTGTCTCCTGTCCCTTTGCCCCACTGGGCCCCTACCAGCTGCCTTCAGTGACGTGAAGCTTCCAACTGGGAGGGGATACAGCGGGAGGCTGGGGCTCCCAAGGTCCTGCCTGGAGGGTCAAGGCCATGACAGCCCACTACGCTTTCTCTCAGTTCCCTCCCCGCTCCATGGACCCCCCACTCCTCCCACCAGGCTGCTCCCCATACCCTCCCACAGCCCTCTCTCCACACAGGGCTCTGTCTGTCTGGATGACCCCACCCACTCTGAGCCTGCATACCCATCCAGGACCCCCACCCACCCTGGGTCTACACCCCCTGTTCAGGATCTCCTTCCTTCCCAGGTCTGCACCCCTATTCAGAAACCCCACCCACCTTGGTCTGTACTCCTGCCCCGGACCCCCTTCCTTCCTGGATTTACACCTCTCTGTCCAGGACCCCCTTCCTTCCTGGGTCTGCAGTGACCATCCAGGAACCCCTTCTCACCCTAAGTCCACAACCCTGGCCCAGGACCCGTCCAGCCGTCTGTGGCTCCAGTGGCAGAGCGTATCCCCCACTGCCTGTGCTCTCAGGTGTGGCCCTGGCACTCTGGCCTCAGAGCTGGCTACACTGGGCTTCCTTCCTTCTGCCTCCCAATCATGGCTCTGGGTGGGGCCCCACAGTCAGGCTCTTGGTGAAGCCTCATTTTGTGACCTCTGGCCCCTCCATTCCAGCAACTGGCCCCAGTAGGGCCTCACCTTTGATGGGGGCTGGGCCTCTTGCCCTCAGCTCCCTGACACCTACCCACCTCCTCAGCTTTCTCCCTGCCTAAGGGTCTGGCTGGGTGCAAGGGCAGGGCCCAGAGTAGTGGAGGGGATTTGGAAGGGCAGAGAGACCCTGCATCCAGCTTGGAGAGGAGGAGATGTGGCCTTGGGAAGGCTCCCTGCTCCCACAGTTTTCCCAGGCCTCACCCAGCCCTGTGTGCTCCATATCCCCAAGGGTGGGTGGACAGAAGGGCCATGTGAGGCTTCAGCCAGAGGATGCCTTGCTCGTTTGGGGGTTTTCCTTGCCTGGCCTGGAACAAGGCCACCCCATCCCTGCCCCGAGGTCCTGTGCATGATGTTGGGATGGAGTCCACCACATACGTAGAGACCACAGCCTTCTGCTGAGCTTTGCACCCCTGGGCTCTGCCCTGTGGTCTGGGAAGGCTGGGTGTCCACAGCTGGCTCTGGCCCCTGGCCTGAGGTACACAGGGGCAGGCAGGGGCCCCTAGGAGGTCTTGGCCTCATGTGGTGGCTCCCCACTGGATTCCAGCCACATGAGCTGTGACTTCTAAATTGGCCTCAGCAGGTGGTGGGAGGAGGCCCAGAAGTGCCCTCCTCACTTCCAAGATCCGGCCAGACTGGATTCGTGGTGTGCCCCATGACAGGCCTCCGTGGGTACCCCACATAGGGTGCAACCTTCTGTGCTGTTGGTGTGTTCCCAAGCCCAGGGTGCGGGCATGTAGCTGGTGCGCCCATGTCATCTGAGCGATGCATGGTGTGGACATGTGTGGGGTGTCTGTGGACATGTGTGGGGTGTCTGTGGCTGACCTGGCAATTGTCACTGCAGCTGACCTGGGTGGGGGTCCCCGCCTACAGGGGCTGCCTTGGTACCTCTCTTTCTTCCCCTGAGGTCCCCACGGAGGCCCCTGTTCCCCTCCCAAAATCCCACTGCTCACCCAGCCCTGCGCCTCGCTGACCCACTACCAAAAATCCAGCACAGTCCATGGCTTGTTCAGTTGCTGCTTCTTTTTGTTGTTGTTGTTTTTTTTACTGTACCCATCATTTGAAACTCACAAGCTATGACTAAATTTCTTTCATGGAAAGAAAAGGACAAAAACAACAGGTCTGTTTGTCTAGCTCCAGTGTATGGTGAGTGTAGCAGCATTAGAAATAAAATTAAAACTAAAAACACAAAATTCAAGGCAGAGGAAGGGGTGTGAGGTGGTCCACCTCCCTGTGTCTCTTTCTCCTGCCAGGAGGGCAGGCAGAGGCAGGGGACATTTCACAGTGGCAGAAGCTGAGGGGGATGGGGGCATTCTCTAAAGGGCAGGACCTGGCAGGAGGTCCCTATGGTCGCTGGCCAAGGAAGACAACTAGTCCGAGGTGAGGAGGACCAAGGGCCAGCCAGAGGCTGCAGGACAACAGTCAGCAGCAGGCGGATTGGGGCACAGGAGCCGGGGGTCCGTCCTGGCCACCCCCCTGGGGGCTGTGCATCCTCTGTCTGCAGCAGGGGCAGGGGCTCATCCCCCTGACGTCCCAAGCAACCCAACCCAACCCAACCCAAAGTGGGCCTCCAAGGCCATGCACAGCACTGGGCCTGTGGTTCTGCACAGCCCTGGGGTCTCCCCTCGACCCTCTTCCTCATAAGGGGCTGTGGCCCAGGCACGTGGAGAGGTGATGGGGCCTGCGGCGGGAAGTGGGTCGTGGGGAGGAGAGACTGGCGTGCCAGGCCTGGCTCTTCTCCTGTGTCGGGATGGGAGCAGGCAGGGGTGCCCAGGTAGTGGGACTTTTCCTGGGGCACGCTGACCAGGCCCAGAACCAGCCAGGCAGGGAACTGGGAGACAGTAGGAAAAGCCTGAGAAGAGGGCCTGGGTGTCTGAGGCTCTGGCACATGCAGTCGGTGCAGAGCCAGGTCTCAGAGCCCAGGCTGTCTGCTGCCCTGCACTGCCTGAGATGTCAGGGCAAATGTGCTTGGGGGGCACCCTGGTCCAGAGCTGGGGCAGATGCCCGGCTGAGGGAGGGGCACCCCAGAGCCCAGAGGAAGGGGGGCGGGCCTCGTGCCATGCCACAAGGCCTCGAAGCTCCTTCTGCCAGGAGATGCTGCTCTACACACAGGCGAGCTGGTGAGGAGGAGCTTGAAGGCTGAACCCCCAGAAGGGACCCCGCCCCATCCAGGAAGGGGAGCCCCCAGGAGGAGCCCAGTACCCGTTGGGAAGAACCCCACTCGGGAGCCTCACCCCTGTCCTACCAGAGGACCCCCATTCAAGACCCCTACTCCCAGAGCTCCACCACATCCAGGGAGGACCCGCCCGCACCCAAGAGCCCCAGCCCTGGAGCCCCGCCCCATTCAGAGGACACCGCCCCCATTCGGGAGCGAGGCTTGGAGCTCCACCACCAGGAGGAGCCCAGCACCTTCAGGGAAGAGCCTCCCCACACCCCCCCACCCCATCCCACCCGCAACACACATACAATCGGGAGCCCCACTCTTGCCATACGAGGGAGAAGCGCACCCCATCCAGGGGTATCTTCGTGCCATCAAGGAGACTCCGCCCTGGAGCCCCGCCCCATCCAGGGAGGAGCCCTTCACCTTGCTGGGAGGACCCGCCCCGTCCGCGGAGCCGTCCAGATCCGCGCTACTTGCAGGTGTGGACGTCGTAGGCGCGCGCGCACTCCTGGCAGCGCACGTAGCAGCACCAGTGGAAAACGCAGTGACACTTCTCCCGGCGCCGCTCAGAGCGCACGTCGTGGCCGCGCCCGCAGCACAAAAGGTCGCAACCGTCGATGCCGTGCGAGCTCACGTTGCAGGTGCGGCCGCGCGTGCCGAAGGAGCCCGTCTCAGGGTTGGGCTCGCAGAAGTTGGGCGACGCCTCGTAGTAGACCAGGTCGCGCTCCGTGGGCAACTTGAAGTAGGTGTAGCGCGGCCTCAGGGTCTCCACCCATCCGCGCGATTCGCGGTGCTTTTCCACAACCATTTCCGAAGCGCTGTCGTATTTGTCCTTAAGAAAGTCGCCGATGGCGCGGAAGTCGGGCTGCGCCCACCAGCAGGTCTTCACTTCGCAGCTGCCTGACAGCCCGTGGCACTTGCACTTAAGGTGCATGTGGCTGGCGATGGCCTGCGAGTGAGAGAGTCAGGGCCCGGTCTGGGCACCAGGTAGGGCTGGTGGGGTACGTGCGAAGTGTCTCCGCGCTGTGCTCTTTGCCTGCAGCCCCACCACCCCCATGCTCGCCTGGAAAACAACCCGACCAGCCTGCTCCATCACATGCCTGGGACTCCTAGGTGGTGCAAGTGCCCTCTTCGTGGGCCCCCACCGAGCACCCCTTGCAGACCCAAGATTCTGGAGGAGGGCAGGGCCTGGGAGCTTAATCCCCCCAACCCCCAGCTGCTTCTCCGCTGGGTCTACCTCCACAGCATCTACAACTAGGTGAGGAAAGGAAGGGGCAACGACGTGAAGACTAAGGGCGGGCATGCAGGAGTTATGCCATAGATTCTGCCCTGAAGACCCCAGGACTGTGGCAGGAGTAGGGGTACTTGGGCTGGTGGCAAGGCTGGGTGCTGGCCCAAGCTGGGTAATGAAAGCTGCTTAAGGGCAACAGTAGCAGGGCCTGGCTGAGGAATGTGTACTTGGTCCCTTCTCCCTTTGGGGGACTTCATGGGTGTGGGGACTTTATCAGAACTGTCTAAGGCTGCATTGTCCACTGTAGGCCCTGGCCACCCAAGAGCCAGAGGCTGTTCCAAACTGAGAAGTGCCATCAGTGCGAACCACATGCTAGCTGGCACTGAGTCCTCAGTCTTCGTGCAAGAAGCAGATGTAAAATATCCTGTTCATGGTATTGATTGCATTCTTGTACTGATAACCTGGGCTGTATTGGCTTTACTAAAATTTAGTATCAAAATTAACATCACCTGAGAGAATATAGCCACTAGCTCTGTAACATCTTTCTGTGTTGACAGATATTAACTACACTAGTTGGGATGAGCATTTAATAATGTAGATAACTGCTGAATCATATTGTTGTAGACTTGAAATCATATGACATTGTATATCAACTATAGTTCAATTAAAAGAACACTAATGTCACTTGTTTCCTTATTAAACGTGGCTCTCAGAAAATCTGTCACTAAGCTGCGTGGCTCCCAGTGGACTCCTACCGAATAGTGGCTTAGGCTTCAGGTGGCTCTGTGTCCAGTGGCTGCCTGCACCTGGCAGTTCTTCTGTTCATATTTGGCCTTTCCTAGGGCCCCTGCCAATTCCCCTCAGTCTTTTCTGCCTAATCTCCATTGTCTTCTTTCCCAAAGAGGAGCTGCCACAACCCATCTCTGCCTCTTCAGGCTCTTGTTTTGGTTTTGGTTTCCAAATAGGCACATCCTTTGAGGAGTCCACAAGTCCCTAAGAAGAACTCTTAGGGGTTCTGGGCTTCATCCCACACATAGCACTGGTCACCTCTCCCATCATTAATAAAATGCATGTTTTGCTGCTTCTTGAGTTTTCAGTGTTTGGTGTTCTCCATGGACCCCTCACCATAGAAGAAGAATTTGGTGTTTATAATCACTCACACCACATGGTTGCACACCTTCTCATCCCTTTCCTGCCCTAAAAACCATAGCATGATTCCAGTTAGATCAGAGTTTAGGGCTGATGGGATTGGGACTGTGTTAAATGTCACATTCAGCTGAGCCCTGTGATGTTTTACGATTCTTCCTTTTCTACAAAATGCTTTGTTGCTGCCTTAACAAAAAACCTTATCACTGATTCAGTCTCCAACTACCCCCAATTGTGCAAATATCCTCTTGAAGATGATCACATGCTCCAAGTATTCTAACAAGCTTTCATCTTCTGGGAGGCTTCTTCTTCAGAGGCCTTCTGGTAAATTTTGTGAAGTGTGCACGTCAAAAACAAGTATTTTCTACTTGCAAAGTTGGCAAGATGGTGTAGCTGGGTATAAAATTTCTGGCTTAAAATATTTTTTCCCTCAGAATCCTGACAGCATGGATCCATTTTATTGTAGTTTTCCATGTTGTTGGAAACTCTGATGGTGTTTTGATTCCCAGACCTTTGCATGAGACCCAAACCTCTCCAGGAAAGCTAGGAGGGCTCTTTGTGCCTTGCTGTGAATTTCATGACAACTTATCTCAAAGTGCATCCCTCTTGTGCCAGTCACTTATGGGCCTGCCTGGTCTGAAACCTGTGTCCTTCAGTCCTGGAGACTTTCCTGCCTCATTCCTTTGCCAACTTTCTCTTTGTCACATTCATCAATGTCTGTGTTGGACAGATCCTCCATATTTTCTATTCTTTCCTGCTTTCCATCTCTTTGTCTTTTCGGGGTATCTCAACTATCTTCCATCCTTCCTGCTGAGAGTTTTGTTTCCACTCTTCCCTGTCTACTTTCTAGAACTCTTTTTTCCTCTGAAGTTTCTTTTAAATAAACATCCTGTTTTAATTCCATGGATGCAGAGTCTTTATCTCTCTGGGGTAGTGACAGTGTTTGGAAGTTTCCATCTCCCTTTACAACATCTCATTGTTGTAAGTTTTGCTTTTTTTGGTTTGTTTTGTCTTTACCTTTGTGGTTGCTGAGGGACTTCCCCTGCTGAAATGTTCATGCTTTCATTTTAGCTCTGTGAACTTAAGTGAGTATATTTTCCCCTTGCAATCTGTATCTAAAAATTCCAGTGTCTGGGGTCCTGGACATTGTTTTAGAAAAAATTATTTGTAGGAACATTTTACAATCCAGAATAAGGTTATTATCCTCCAAAGAGGATGTATATGCTTTTTCCAGGTATGTGGTGATACCAGCAATTTGGGGTTGCCCTAATCCACACTCAGGTCTTGGGATTTTTCCAGCTCTCACACGTGCAAAGTGGCAGGTCTGCTTCTGGTTCTTGACTCCTCTGGGTCCCTGCCTCCACTGAGGACTGGTCTAGAGGTAGCACCATGCTGGGCTTAGCTCCGTGAGGTCAGGAAGTGCTGCTCCGTTATGGTCTGTCTTCCCAATCAGCTAACAACTCCTGGACAAAAGTTGCCCCAGGTACCAGGCTTAGAGTCCTGTCATCTCCTGGATCTTGGGCCACCAATTCATAGTACGTGATTACTTATCTGACACTTAGAATAATTCTATGGGAGCATAAAATAATACAAAAATGTATATATGTCATAAGTGCAAAGCCAGACACATTCACAAATGACTGGCCCCCTAACACCAGCTCAGAAACCGCCATCCAGTCACACCAATTCTAACAGCATTTCCTTGAGGACTAATGATTTTGGGCACCTTTTCATGTATTTGTTGGCCTTTTCTATATTTTCTTTTGTGAAGTGGATTTCCATTTTTTTCACTATTGAGTTATCTGTCTTCTAATTAACCTACAGAGTTCTTTTTATATTATAGCTTTTATATATTTGTTGGAATGAAGCTTGGAGGAGCAGCTTTTATATATTTGTTGGACTGTGTATATATTTTATATTTATGTTTTTATTTATATAAGTATATATATTTTTAATGCTTTATGGATGTATAATAACCCACTATATATATATATTATATATATATATATATATATATATATCTAATATATAGATATACATCTCCCTGGGTGGATTATTTTTTCAATCTCATACTGGTGTCCTTTTATGAGTAGATGTTCTTAATTTTAATGCAGCCCACATCAGTACATTTTTCTTTCATTGCAAATGTTTTTTGGCCTGTTTAAGGAATCTCTGCCCACTACAAGGTCACAGAGATGTTCTCCCATGTGTTCTTAGTGTTTTATGTTTTACCTTTCCCACTTGGGTTTGTAGTTGACTTTGTATATGGTGTGACTGAGCTGCTATCCAGTTGACTGAGCACCACTGTGGAAAAGACCATTTTCCATCTTCCCGTCTGCACTGTGCTGACTTGCCTGTGATTAGCCAGGTGCCTGGACACAGGTGGCTATGAGGCACTTTAGGTATCTCATTCTGCATTTATGCTTGTCTTCTGACCCAGTCCTTTTTAGTAGGGCTCACAAAACTCAGTCCCTGCCAGCCTCTCCAGCCCCCAAATCTCCATTTGGGGGACAGCCTCTGTCTGTTCTTCCTGACCTCCCTGTTCTACCCAGACTGACCTCCTTGCTTCTTTCAACCCTGGGCTGCCTGAGGCTCTCTCTGCCGCCACACCTACAGAACTGTCCAATACTCTGCATGTCTCAACTCAGCATGGCCACTGGAGGTCTTTTTTGCCACTCTGCCTGGGTTGTTGTGGCCCCTTTGCTGTGCCCGGGTGACCCAGTGTGTGTACTTCCTCACTATAGAGCTTCCTCACTGCATTGTCTCCCTCCCGGGACCTGTAAGAGCTCCTGCAGGGCAGGCCTTCATCCCATCCCTCCCCTTGGGATCCCAGCTCCGCAGGCAGCCTCCCATCCCGTGGGAGTGTCCTTGACACTTTTGGAGCAGCTGGCCAGGGCTGTTTCAGACAACCCTGGACAGGTGGCGAGCAGATCCCAGCCTGGCCATAATGGTCAGCCTTCCTCAGCCAGCCACACCCTTCAAGGGATCAGGGCACATACCCTGCTCAGGAAGCTATTTCCCGGTACCCAGGGATGAGGTTGGGGGATACTTTTGGTGCACCTCAGGATGCACAAGGAGTGGTAGAGGGGTCCCCCAGTGCACCCCCGGGACACACAGGGCTGTAGTCAGACCCACCCCACCACGTACACACCCCCAGGACACGCAGGGCCATGGTAGGCAGGCCCCCATGCACCCGGACATACCTGGCGTCCAGCCTCATTGTTGTGGCGGTTCATTGCAGAGCGGGCATCTGGCCGGTTCTCCCGCGCATCTGCAAACTCCCGAGACACCATCCCTCCAAATTCGATGTCCTCACTGCAGCCGCCCCACTTCCAGCCCTCGCCTGGCAAGCCCAGGTGGCGGCTGCTGCAGCCACAGATGGCGGTGGAGCCCTCGGAGCAGGAGCGTGTCACGGCAAAGGCCACACCGGCGGAGGCGATGGCATGCACGAAGGCCGACTCCCGCGTGGCTGAGGGGAGAGGCAAATGGGTTGGCAGGCCCCAGCGGGGTCCTCGGCCGGCTGGGCCTGGTCACCCTATCCCCACTGCCTTGTTGGTAAGAACCCCAATCTAGCAGCCCCCAGATGTCCACCGACAGGGAATGGATAAACCACTGTGGCCCAAAATAAGGCAGTCTGGGGTTAGAGTGTGCAGTGTGGGGCTGTAGTTCACCATCCTGTGTTGCCTGTCCGACAGTTGCTAGGATGGTAGATCTTGAAAGTTCTCATCACAAGAAAAAAAATAGTAACCTCGTGTGGTGACAGATGGTAACCAGACCTCCTGTTGGGACTATTTTGCACTGTGCACATGTATTGGATCATTATGTCCTTCACCGTGATGCAACGTATGTGTCAATTGTTTCTTGGTAAGAAAAATGGGGATGTCTCCATAAAGTGGAATTCTATTTATCAGGAACAAAGCCGGTGGGGTGGGGGGACAGAGGTATTTAGGAGGAACCCTCTGGGTGTATGGGGGGCAGCCTGGGCTGTGCTGAGACTGGACCCCAGCCAGCTTCCTCAGACAGTATGTGTGTACACACATCTCTGCAAGGAAGACAAGGGCTTGGGGCTGCCCTGGGTCCTGTGTGCTGGTGGAACCCCATCCCTGTTCACTCCCCATCCTGTGTGTGTGCACAGAGTGCCTGCTGTTTGCCACCTTTCACTGGAGAAACAGCAGGGGGTGAGATGACCTCACGGGCTTCCAGGAATTGTAATAACCTAGGTCTGGGATGCAGGGGGTTCAGAGCCCTGCAGGCCTTGGGCTGAGCCCCGCTGGGCATCTGGCCGCAAATCTGGAAGGGGACACGCCATTCTCCGATTCTGCTCCCACCTCCCGCCTGGCCAGGGCTGCCCAAGCTTGAGGGCTGCTCTGGCCTCCTGAGGCGGCTGAGACCTGTTCTGCCCCTTCTGCCCTTCCCTGTTCACCAGAAGGGGCTCCTAGTTGGGACCAGCCTGGCCCCCAGCTTCCTCCTTGTCATCCCCATGTGTGTGCCGCACACACCCAGAGACCACAGGCGGAGCACTCTGCCTGACAGCCACCCGGCCCCCACCCCCTGCTGTCCACCCAGCCCTGTCCCAGCTGCCTGGCCTCCAGCCAACTCGGCTCTCCCAACCCCTTCCCTGGTTCTTTCCAGCTGTCCCTCTGCTCCTGTGTCCTGCTCCATAGTCCCACCATGCAGTCCTGGGCATGCCCAGCACCTGGCCTGGGCAGCTCCCTCCTCCAGGCTTGACTACCCTGACTCATCCTCAGCTAGGCAGGGACTGTGTCTCGTTCACCATTTTCCCCAATCCGAAGCCTTGCCCCTGCCTCACAGCTGGCTGTAGGGGAGGGGGCCTGGTGGAAGAGAGGGCAAGGGCTCTGGGCTGGGTCGGGAAGCCTGGCAGGCTCTGGGCCCACCCGAGGCAGGCCCACCCTTGGGGCCGGCTGTCTGCCTCTCCCTGCTCAGCTGGTCCCTGAAGGACCCAGGACAGGTCCTCTCACCCAAAGACCAGCTAGGCAGCCCCCTCTCCCCATTCCCGGGCAAAGCCTCCCTGATTTCCTTTCCTAACACCACGGATCAGTCCACAGCCAGCCTGGAGCAGCCCTCTGCTGCCCCAAGGCACCTACAAATAGAGGCCAGCATGGCTGGACAGACTCTTGCCCTCCTGCCCTTATTTTATCTTCTCGAGGACCCTTGACTGCCCCCACCCCACTCTTCTTCCTTGCTTCTCCTGCCCAGGGCCCCAGCCTGGTGCCTCCTCTGCAGGGCCTGCAGCGAGCCTGGGCGAGGCTGTGAGCAGGCAGCCTGCAGGCTCCTGGGACAGAGTCAGCATGTCCACGGCATGCCTGGAACCAAGTGCCTTCCCCACTGCATGGGCCCCTGGTGGCCTGCCTCAAGGCTCAGCATGGGCAAATCCAGTACCTTCTTCAAGCACCTTGGAGCCTGCCCTCTAGCCCTGGGGCTCAGGACCTCAGGAGGAGCCGGCCTCCCTCCTCAGCTAGCCTTCCCTCACCTCCTTTGAGATGAGGGGAGAGGAGCAGCCCGGGGCTTGCCGCACCCGGAACCAGGGCTTGGAGATCTGTCTATCGAGCTCAGGCAAATAGACCCAGCCGCCAGACGTACTTGAGGACATGGGTGTTGAAGGGGACCCTCCCCTTGAACTTGGAGGATAAAGAGCTCATTCCTGCCCAGCTCTGTCACTGGTCAGCTAACGACCCTGCACACATCTTCCTTCCCATGGCCTAAATTTCCCTTTCTCCCAAATGAGGGGGTAGGCTCCTGACAGATAAGGTCTTGGCATTGAGGACACCTTGGAGCTGGCCTTTAGCTTGCTTCTGAGGAAAAGAAGCCTCGGTGAAGGGGCTGCAAGACAAGCAGTCAGAAATGTGTGAGATGGTTTGTTCTGGCAAAGAAACTCATTTTTAATTCTGAAGACCCAGCTCTTTAGGTAGCTCCTCACAAAGAGAAAAACTAACTTTGCATTGGAGAAGGCTGGCAGACCCCACCTCACCTGAGGAACTAGGGCTGCCATCATCAGCCTGGGACAGAGGGAGCCATGCCCGAGGCAGATGAACATGCTCCCCTGCTTAGACATGCTCCAAGGACACCTTGGAAGGCCTTTGCACTGAAGATTGGGAACGAGTCATCAGGAGACATCCGACAAACCCAAAAGGCCTAACCAAGCTCCTCCCAGTCTCAAGGGTGTGAAGGACAGGGTTGGGTGAAGGGACCTAGAGACCAGGGATGAATCCTGGACAGAAAAGGGGCATTGATGGAGAAGCAGGTAAAATCTAAGTCTGGACTTCCGTTAATAGTGATAAATCTTAGCTCTGAATGATGCTGCTGGGTTTGGGATTTGTCACCCTGTGAGGGGCCTGGACCCCTGGTGCCCCTCCTGCAATGTTTCTATAGGTCTATAATTATTTCTGAAGAAAAAATTAAAAGGCATCCTAAGTCTGTGTAGAAGGGAGACCCCCAGAACACCCAGATGACATCCCACGGTGGCAGGAACTTCTCATCCAGGGGCCCTTGGGTAGGCTTCAGGCGGCTTATAACCCTCCTGAAATAGTGAGCAGGAATGACAGGGCCTGTCTGAAAACTCGTGTGTTTTCTGGATAGAGAATCCGTTGCTTTGAGCAGATATCCACAGGAGTTGGAAGCAAGCAGGTCCTGATGCATTAGCTGGAATAACCTCAATCTATGGAGGAGGGAGTCAGGACTCCCCTGAGGTCATGGGTACCTGAGGTCATGGGTACATGGGTACATGAGAAGGGCACCGCCAGGACTCAAGCTCAGTTCTGGACCCAGAAGCCACCCCAATCACAGCCAAGTTCTCAGCTACAGTCAGGATCTTTGTCAGAGGTCTCTGCCTCTGTTTACACACCAGAGGTTCTGGGGAGTGGGGGAGGAGCCACCCTGCCCCTGGGGAGGGAACCCCAGCTTCGGGGTGATAATGAAAACACCTCCATCACCAGCAAAATGCTGTCTTCCCCATGGGCTGTGGTGGGTCAAGGGAGGGGTGAGGACAGGGGCCTCAGGGAGAGGTGCGGAAGGGCCACAGCTGCTAGTTTGCCGAGCCGCTGGTGCAGAGCCCACAGGAGTCTTTGAGCAGAGCAGTCTCAGGCCTGCTCTGCTCAGGCCCAGGGTCTCATTCAAGCCTGTGAGCTGGGCTCTGGCAGTGACTTTACCTCCCTGGGCCTCAGAACTTTAGAACTAGAGGGATCTTAAGTCCTTGTTGCCACATTTGGATTTTGTGGGTTTGTCAAGTACCAGAGAACATTTGGGAGTTGAAATAGGACTGCCAAGTGTGCTCTTACTTTTTCACATGAGGATAAGAGGTATAAAAAATGACTATCATAATTTCAGAATTGTGATCGGGGGGTGGGAAAAGCAAGAAAGGGAATCTTGTGACAAAGTTGTTCTGTAAGGCAAGCATCTTCCACAGGGAAAACCATCTTCCCCAGAAACATGGCATTGTTTCATTAGTAATTATTTATTGAATTCATGCAAAGTATCAATGATCTATCCTTCCTTCCATCCACCGACCCACCCATCTACCCTCACCCATGCACTCAACTATCCATACACCCAAGCACCCATCCATGATCTACCATCCACCCACCCATCATTCATTATTCATCCACCCATGCATCCATCATCCACCCATCATCCACCCACCCGTCTACTCATCCATTCAGAATTAGAGAGCCTATAATGAGCTATACACTAGGCTCAGAGCTAGAAATGTGAGATGAGTAAGAAGCAAGGTGCCCATTCTCAAGAATCAAGGTAAGAAATCTGCAAGAAAGTGGATTGCTACGTATCTGATCAACCCAGGCTTTCCGAAATGTGAAGGAGCTACTTGACCGGGCGGCAGTTAAGCAGAGGCTGGTGACCCACTCTCAGGTAGAAGGAATCCCTGTACTGGGAAGGAGTGTGCACCTCCTTTAGTGAGAGGTCCTGCTTTTGTGACTGAGGTTCTTTGCTTTGGGCTATGCTAAGTCACCTGCTTTTAGGAGCTTTTAGTTAATAAGTGAAAGAGTCAGGGTAATAAGGACACACAGTGAAGCTTAGCAATGTGTGAGCTCTGGGGAAAGCCTGGGATAGATGGATAGATGGTGAATGGTTGAAGGGTGGATGGAAGATGGATGGTTGGGTGGATATATGGATGGATGGTGGATGAATGGTGGTGGATGAATGGTTGGTTGGGTGAGTGGATGTGTGGGTGGATGGGTGGGTGAGTGGTTGGATGGGTGGTTGGGTGGATATATGGATGTATGGATGGATGGTGGATGAATGGTTGGGTGGGTGGGTGAGTGGATGGAAGGGTGGATATATGGTGGATGGATAGATGGATGGGTAGAGTCTGGGGCAGGTGAGGGAGTCCTGTGTGCTGAGAGATGGGTGCCAGGCGGAGAGCAGGGAGAGCAGCCAGGCAGGGGTCCATCACGGCTGAGACCTGTGCAGCTGCACGTATGGCAGGCTGAGGGC